AGAACCATTCATATTATAATAAAATATTATGATTATTAGTCTTTATTAGAATTTTATTTATTTTTATATGTACATATGTATATTCGTTTATTATATTTGTAAGATTTTATTTTGCTTTATTGTTAAATAAATGATAAAAGTAAAAAATAATGAAACATAATAAATTGAATGGTAAAATACCTGACCAATTTACTACCCATCTTCCCCAAACCCCATCACCACATAATGTGATATCCTCGTTTACGCTGTTTCATACTACGCTCTATTTTGATGGGACGTATACAATCTTACTGTACAAGCATAGCATTGTAGCTCATTCTCTATTATTATGCTATAACGAATGAGAAGCCAATTAAAAACCCAAATTCTGTTCTATTATATGTGGATGTTTTATTATACGTTTTGTGGATACTCACGTAACAAACTAATTACAATATCGATACCGTTCCGCTAACCCAGAAAAGGAAGTGTTTACGATGTTTATGAACGAAAGGCCTATTCGAATTATTTGCTTTTACAGCATTTAATCAGCGTGTCTCTAATCGTACCGACATCGACTACCGTGAGGTAAGAGGTGCCGATCGAGAGATAACGGATAGAAAGTGCTCTCTCTGGAATAAAAGCAACCGAGTTACGCACGGTGAGCAAGCCATTAATTTAGACGGACACGTATTTTTGGACTTCTTTAAATCGATCTTATTCTCACTCTCATCCATTGGCATTAGTGTTTGTGGTTTAAAATCAATTTGGAATCGAGTATTTCAATTGAAATGTGCTATGCATTCATCACGACAGGCCGGCAACCTTTCCATATCCCCGAGGAATTAACTTATCATTCAAAAGAGAGTCTATATTATTGTCTGTATTTTTAAATGACTTAGAGAACTGAAATTAACTGGTTGCCGAAACCCACAGACAACATAACACCATGAGACAGGACACTTCGGGACATAACCATCCAAATCGGAATATATTACTGCTTCACGGTAGAAATAGGCAGGTAGGTGGTGGTACCTACCCGTTTAGGCTCAGAACGCGCTCCACCACCATTATTAAGTACGCTTTAGAAATATTTCAGGTATGATTTTTGTAAAAAAATATAATATTGTTATTTATTATTAGTTGAAAGTTATACGTGAACAATCGTATAGTTGGTGTTTGCAAAAAAAATTATAATTTAGGACCTGGCCAAGTCGCACCACTATACACAAACCGGACAATTTTAACGTAGTACCCAGTTCAAAAAAAATAAAAATATTTTTCTCGTACCTATTTAATTTTATTACTATACGATAGATATCTTTAGTATTAACATAACAGAAAATAGCGAATACCATAAGTTTCTGTGACACGAATTGTTTAATTTATTACAAACGAAGTTATGAATAATCGATCACGTTTTGCGGGTGCTTATCGCGATCTAAACCGTATCGAGTCGACTTCCACGTGCCAGTTAACGAAGGTATTGCATAAATGTGTAATAAGCGCATAATATTCACGAAAGGTTTTTCAAGCAAACTTTCTAGTAATTACAATGTCGGAAAACTAATTTTCAAACTTCGATGCCCGCTTTTATTAACTGTAAACGTGGAAACAAAACTTGTTTAGTTATAATTTCCCAAAATCCAACAGACCTATATATATTTTTTAAGGATCTTGGTATACAATTTATTTTAACAACAAGACAATTTATTTTTATTTTTTATTGCTTAGATGGGGTGACGAGCTTACAGTCCACCTGGTGTTAAGTGGTTGCTGGAGCCCATAGACATCCACAACGTAAATGCGCCACCCACCTTGATGTATAAGTTCTAAAGTCTCAAGTATAGTTACAACGGCTGCCCCACCCTTCAAACCGAAACGCATTACTACTTCACGGCAGAAATAAGTAGGGCGGTGGTATCCACCCGCGCGGACACACAAGAGGTGTTTTTAATTACGCAAATTATAATTTTGCGGGTTTCATTTTTATTACACGATGTTATTCCTTCACCGTGGAAGTCAATCGTGAACATTTATTGAGTACGTATTTCATTAGAAAAATTGGTACCCGCCTGAGATTCGAACACCGGTGCATCGCTCAACACGAATACATCGGACGTCTTATCCGTTAGACCACGACTTTTATGATTTGGGTATATATTAATATGAAACTAAAACTACATTACGAAAAATCTCAATGAATTCCACTATGTATTCAATTTATTAATACATCAGAGCTGGTAGATCAAGACCATCCACGTTGTGTCTAATCTTGTAATCGTCAACCCATGTTTTATGTAAGGCATGAAACGTATGGTATGACTCCTTTTTTTAACAAAATATGATATGCAGTAGAGGAGCAATAGTAACACTACTAACATTGGCAAATCAAGTCGCACTCGGGTGTCACCGGGCGCAATCAGAATTCCCAAATGCGCAGGTGTCGATTTAAGTTCAACATAAAATCGAAATTTTAGTATAATTTGTATCGTCTAGTGCCTAACGTCGTTTTCTTCTGTTTGTTTATATTTTAATATTTTACATACTCGTACACCTAAAACATTATAAGTATGAAATAGTGTGTTTGACTTTTATATATTCTGAGTGAAATTTTCCCGTTAATACGGAGAGTAAATAACAAACCACACCAGTATTAAATCAAGGCATCTTTGGGGTTTTGTAGTAAAAACAAATGAATGACCAACTTTTTCACTGCAGTCGAAGACATAAGCGCTCAAAACCATTTGGTCATTAGTAACTATCGCCTATTATAAAAAATAAATAATAATCGTTAAAATTCTGTCACAGAATTCCGCTTGTTTCAAAAAAGTAAAAATGCTTTGTGAAATCTGCCATGCTCTCTCATTTTTAATGACATATTAACAATCGATTCTTTGCAAAGTTGCAGAGATGGTGTTTACTCGACAAAACAATCAGTGTATGTACGTTTGAATGTTTCATTTATTGAAAGTCTTAAGATAAGATACTCATACTATTTTTTGCTAGTTGCGTTTTAAACGATTTGCGACGCTGTGAGTTTTAAACCTTTTATCCACATTGCCTGTTCAATAGTTACCAGTGCAGCTACGGCTACGTCACACTACCATGTGACTGTCGCGTTTATTAATTTATTTATTTATACGTTGTATTAAGAAGTGGTAAGTAGAATAATACGTAAAAAAAAAAAAGTAAGTAACAAGATGAAATGTGTTTGAATCCGAAAAATAAATGTGTTGTGAAACAAATAAGAAATAAATTACATTAATTAAGACATTCCTTAAATGCTTTTTTTCTTTAAAAGAAAAAAATGCAATTGCAAAACCTTTTTGTTTATCAGACAATAGTTTTAGCTTTGTTTAGTATCAAATTTGAAACGAGCGCTATCTAATCTCGAGCCTGTTCGTCATAGCAAAAATATTTCGATCCGATGGATCCGCGTATCATTCTTTAAATATTTTATCTCGATACAGCTTTTGCATTGAATATATTAATAATATTAATATGGATATACATTCTTTTAAATTATTTACTCTGTTTTAACTTTCGTTTTCGAACTTTATTTAACTTAATTCATTTTATTTACTTTATTAACTTATTATATTATATTATTTATTTATTTATTGACTTTAACTTTATTTAATACACATTTAAGATACAGTAAATAAGATAAGCAAATGGTTTTTATAATGGTCATTTCAATCATATTATTATACCAATTATATTTATTTATGAACACGAACAAAAGTACAATTAGGTAAAAAAACACTATTTTAAAAGAACTGTATAATAAGTCTCAAAAGTAGTCCGTAGCCTTAATTTATATGAGCACTTACGCAATTTTCCATACGACTGGAAATTTCTAAAAAACAGTATGGTAATGAGTATTTAAATGCCACTTTGAAATAACAGATTACTGTTACGTATTTTATGGTTTGCACATATTATGTGTTATATTAAAACGTACATGGCAGGTGGTTACAATATGTCTGACATATCAAGGAAATAATGCAATATGAACACATAGTTTAATTTAGAATAGTCACGATCCAACTTTATCAAGTACGTATTCTATAAAAAAAAATCTTTTCAAGCATATTCGATGTGTGCGGCTAGGTGCAGCCTTTGAAATTTGTACATCAATGTCATCGGAGTGAACAAAAACTTCAGTTTTGTATTGTGTGATAGGTACTTACTTGCTTCACGGTCGCAGAGATGACAAAAAATTGTTTTTCCCCAGATCTGTTGTTCTGTTTAAGTCAAGTATACAGATAAACAAAGACGTTATCACAATCTTCGCCAAGTTGCTCTTATTTATTTATCTTGTTAAGATAACAACTAAATTTGTCGTTTCTCTAGAATCAGTAGCGTTTTTGAAATAATTTTAGCCGATTTCTTAAATACTAGTGGTCCCCTGGTAGTCGAAATTCGAGTATAATTAATTGAAATTATAATCATAATATAAAGAATCATAAAAAGACTATAATCATATAAAGTAAAAAACTAATATACTTCTATAATCACAGATTTCGCTAAGATTACACTTTAGACAAATATTAATAAAGCCAAACAATATTTAATCTATTCTCGATTTGACCACAGACTAAAAGCAATAAGAAAAGTTTGACAATAAACAAATAGTATGCATGTGTGTGTCAAATACATGGTAGTATGTGTAATGTTTTTTTTAATAGATTGTATTTATTATGCATAATTTAAAAAAATATTAACATTCTGCACTCCTTCTCTATATTTTCTATAAGTGTGGAAAATTTCATACTCCTCCGTCCGCGGAATTTTCGTAAAAAGGGGTACAAAGTTTTTGCTTCACGTCTTAATATATAGATTTATCCCTTCACAGATTACCTTGAAAACTTGTTTCCTTAGTCACTGATATACTTCTAAAAGTAGTGCAGCCCCGACTTAGAGTTATTCTAAAGTCTAAAAACAACGTTTGACATGTTAAACGAGTATATTTTTTTCAGAGATTATTAGTGTCGATAAAGTCTAGGACAGCTGACCTGTGGTGCCAGGATCGGCGTTGTCTCCGTTGTCGCCGTTTTGCCGGTGTTTGTGCACGCTAGTCACAACCACGCGCGCCACCATGACGCCCCGACTTGAATACCTTTACCACGCAATCCATCAGCGCTTCGATAATTCCTTCGTGTATTCAATTTAACACTGAGGACACTAGATTCAGGGGGATCAACAATCACTGGACCGTAACGAACACACGCGCACAACACGTATTAGTTCCCGTTTTTTTAATTTTAATTAGATTGTCCACAAGATCACTTGTAGTTTCACAAGTCGCAAATGCTAATTGTATGTTGTGAAAACAATAGCTACGACAATATCGTATTCAATTGTATCGGTATTTTCGTTATAACAATATCAATAACTATTCGTATGTAATTTCACTGTAAAACACTAAATCTGAAATGGCTAGTATTTAGTAAATTGCAGTTAAACACGTCGTTGATTCGTTATGTTCGAAAGCTGGTTCGATTAAAACGTCAGAATCGCGCAACAGTCCATATCTCCTCAGCGCTTTTACTATACTAAACGGAGGTAGGTTTGTGGTTTGGGAAAAAGAGAAAGAACTATAATTTGACGTATCGAAGTCGCAGATATCAGTCGTCGTGTCGCCGGTGTAAACGAAATTGGACTTTGGTTGTAACGAAATAAGGTATCGCATAGCTGTAGATTAGTTTCACAGCTGAGTCAGTTTCCTCGAACATTGAGTGTGGAAATCCGAAACGGTAGAAGGATTGCAGACATTGTGTACGACTGAAATGGATATACTAGCCGAGCTAGCAACGAATCAGTCCGACAATATCCGAACGCCAAGGCCGACACACGTCACGTTTCACGACTAGACGCACCTCCCATATACAATTGCGTACTGTTGCAGTTTATTGCACTTTGTCTGTTAATTATAATAATTGAATATTTACAATGAAATTATCTATCAATAAGTGTCTTTTTATTTGCAATTTATAGAAAAACAACTGCCGTGTAAATTATATAAGCCAATATTTTTTTTGTAAAACTCCACTAGCGTACCATGTCTTAATATTCAAAGTACCCTATTAAATTTATTTACTGGTTACATGTATGGTAGTAAATAATTAGAACTAATCTCGACATTCGAGACGAGGGCCATCCGTAGTCTCAAATTTTCGTTTGTCAATGTTATCCTAATTAGTTTCAACTACTTTGTGGTCTGAAGGGTCCTAGTGACAGCTTCGCAACAGAAATAGATCAGTTGATGGACTTACAATAAGTTCAACTACAAAGCTTTTGAAATTTGGCGACTTTTATTTTCGTTACACGATGCGGATTCGGATTGTGGAAGTAAAAAGATTAGTGCGGAATGTGAACACCGGTATAGTCGGATCGCTTGATACAAGTACACCGGCCTGTTACCTTTTAAGGCTACGGACAACTTTAAAAAAAAGTAGATGTGAAATAGGTAAAGACAAAATAGTCAAGCACTGTTTTCTTGTCAGTTTATCAACCGTTTTTTTTTTGTTTAGTAGGTACATATATTTTTTAATTACAAAATAGAAATAAAATAAATTAAATAAGTCTAAATGTTGAAATTATAAAAGATACCCTGGTAACTAACTATACGCTAAGTGAATTAAGTTGCTAAAGATATGAAAATACTTCAAATTGTTGAAATATTTCACGCGCCACCCACCGTACCTTAGTGATAAAACCAAACCCTGCAAACCGTACAGTTTCAACTCTGAAATCGAATGCACAACATGAACAAACAAAGCTTCATGAATGTTCATTTCAACGAAGTTCAAATCAAAAAGATATCATGAGTCGATTCATTGTATACATGGTTTGTATTAGATTTTAGAGTGGATTCTCTGTAGATTTTATTGCGCTAAAAACGTGATCACTTTTATTCCATACAGTGATCATTAATACGACCTTGGAAACAAAATTATCGTTAACATTCCGCTTACATCTTTGCCCGAATTACAAAATATGAAAGGTAGCAAGCATATATTCTTTCCTAAGGTTTAAACTATTTCCATACCGAATTCCGTCTAAATTGGTTCGGATAGAGTTATATTCGTCTTTATAATATTAAGCATGGATATATCATTATGACGTCAAAATCCACAATCGTTTAATGTGCGAGTTACCTGAAATAATACTACTTTATTGTTGGAATTGAAAGTATTGGTTTTAATATCTTAGAACAAACAATCAAAATAAATATAAATAATATGACAATAAATATACGATTGTGCTGACGAAATCTTTATGAAACAGGGACTACTATGACAAATAACAGTCACTAAAATTTAGCTTGAATTTAAATTTAAATGTTGCTAGTATGGGATATATGTAATGAACCAAGATTGTGTGATCACAAAAGAAAAAATTATTTAAACTATGATGAGCCCCTAGAACTGTTCACTATTGATTTCAAATATCACAAGACCAAGATTAGCTTTTTAACTGTAAAATAATCTTTACTTGTACATTTTTATGTTATCAAAAACATTTTTCGTATCTCTTAATATTAAGATCGGGTGTGCAGTTACGACGTTAACCACGTATGGCTATTACCGGAATTTTTCGTGCGTCACTTATTTGCAAAGAATATCTGCAATGTTTTTATAGTACATATCGAGGGGTGAAAAGCTATTTATTTGGGTTAAACGACACTTTTTGAAATTTATAGGAAAGCCATTACAAGTTTAAAACTTGGAAAAAATACCGTGACAAAAAAACCTTCTTCAGCTATTTGAATGGAGTAAACTTAAATGAAGTTCAATTAAAAACATCGAACTGTTAATGCAAATACCAAATACATAAAATGCACCTTTAATTTCAAAGATAAATGTCGCATGTTAATCGAAAGGTCGCTTAAACCAAAAATAGCCTTTCAACCTTCGATATAACAAAATGAGTCGAAATAAAGCAGGACTCATTTCTAGATTAATTTGTCTTCTGCCAACCGTATCTACTTTCTTTTACGCCCCGATGTAACTCGCCTAGTTTGTTAGCATTATGTTAATGTTGTTGAATGCTGTCAGACCGGTCAAGGTGTATATTTTAATCGTCAACCGCCTTTAATGTTATTTTGAAAGCTGCGACGGCACTTAGCTGTCTAAGCCTAATTATGTCCTTTCTGGGAACATTTCATCTACCGGTTTAATGTACACCTTTATACATCACTCACTGCTGTCGTTTTTTTTTCTGTAATACATCAACTTTAACAATTACAACAAATGTCAAGGTCATTAAAATTCCGCGAGTACCTACACTGCACATACAAAAACACTAGAAACAGTAACCACAACACAATTATACAGTATGTTAACTTTTTATTATATTATATTATATTAACTTAACCAAAATCGAGTCAACAACGTGAGGAACGTTTCACGACTACGTGCACGTTTGAGGAATAAAACTTTGTTTAAACGTTTGAGAGCCAACAAACGGCCTCGAAACAATTGGAATTTAATCGAACACTTGCAAAGTCGTTACGAGTCGGACGCGTTATAATACAGAGTGATTCGTAAGAATCGAAGCGAATTGAATAGACAATGTTGGATGTAATTGAAAAGCAAGCGGTGACCCTTTATTAGTTGTACACAACACACATGTGTTTGTGATGCGCGACTGCAAACAGCCCACTGTCACGACGCAACGAACGTCGTTCACGACTTTGTAAAACACTTTTAGTAAACATATATGTACATACGGAATAGAACACTTACACAAGGACATTGATATTAAGGCAACCCTTGCATTAGACACCTTTAGCACTAACACTAGGAGTAGGTACCCCGGTAACCGTACTCGTCGAACTCGGCAAAGAATTCGATATGCAATTGCATTGCATTCTCAGGGGGTCGCGATTCCGATCCGGTAGTAGATTCATTCGCGAAATAGCTACTCTTGAGTTGTTAGGTCTCCTTTGGAGGTGCTCGGGTAGCTTTTAGCAAATCCCAAACCTTCTGTCTGAGCCCTTGCTCACCCACCTGCCCTGGTAAAACTGGAAAGGTCTCCGGGCTACCAGTAATCTCTCAATTAAAAAAAAAATAATACTATTAAGACAGATATTTTTAGAAGAATCTCGAGCACATAGTTTCGCAAACAAGAAATTAATGTTCTTAATAGGCAAATTTCCAAAATGTTTAAAACGAACATCCTCAGAATCTGTACTTTGATGCACGACATTGTTTATTAATGACTAACAGACGGTCCCACAACCCTTTGAGCTCAGACAGGAAACGGTCTAATAAAGCGAACGGGTGCTTTTAACTAGGTACGTGGTTGAGTAACGCATGCATTTTAAACAGCTATCAAACCTGATTCATCTCGGCTCATATTCTATTTGTTAATCACGATTATTAAAAGTCATCAATTCTTGCGGTCCACAATTATAAAATTGCGTACAAATTTCTGAAGAATTGTGAGTGACATGGCGAAATTAAGTTCTATATCCATTCCATCAGTTTGATGAGCGACTATTGCGAACGTAACACATTATGATATTATACAAAACGTCTGTTGGCTAACGAATAAATCAACAGTGTGGAGAGCATGATGAATTGCAGAGATGTGGGCGTGACGATTATTAATCAATATTAATTGTATCTTATTCTAGTTACAGAAGACTCATTAAAGCGTCGCGGAAGAAAAAGTTGTGACACATTCAAATTATGTTATTTGAGAGTTATGATTGTAACGTGTTGGTTTTCTTTAAACATTTCAACTCTCAATTTAACACGATTATGACATAAATAACATCAAATTTGAATTTCACAATGGCATATCATAATCATTAAGCTTCGCTCGTTTTTGGTGTTTCAATATTGATACGATTGCAAACAAGCAGGCGATAACCATCTTTGATGTTTTAAAAATGTAATATTAAGATATAATCGTTCGTGATGTTACAATGGTTTGTTGTGAAATCTAAAATAAATAAACGACGGTAGCATTTACTTGGTATCCGAATATGATTCACCTTTGAGTGTGTATTATGGGGGATTTTAACATGCACGGAGCTGTTTTTCTTATCTATACTAAAATATATAAATCTACAGTGTTTTTACGGATGTTCCGTTATAACTACTGAACCATGCATCCGATTGACTTGAAACTTGGTATCCATGTAGAAAATACATGTACTTAATGGATAGGCTAATATTTATATGAGTGTTGGACTCCCTACACCAGTTGCGGGGGCGTTAATGATGAGAATCTTTGTGGGGGTGAGAAATAATAATATTAATTTTAAATGCCCTAACGAAGCGGACGGGTACAGCTAGTTGTAATATACAAATGGTAACTCACTTTCTTAATAAAATTTGATATGTTCATCGTGCTACGTTTGAGAAGTTCAGGGGTGGTGATGTATAACCAAATGTACAGCGCACATGATTATTTTGAACTAAACGAAGATAGCGGCAAGAGACGGCATGGAAACGGCACGGCGCGATGGCATCCCATATTACAGATTATCACTCATTTATACGTTATGGCGAAGGCGTCGTCCACAAAGCCCTAGCGACAGTAAAGACTTACGTTCCAACAAACCAATAAAATTGCAATCCATTTAGAAATAAATTTTAAACAGTAATATCACTTCTGTGAAAAACAAGCCTGGCAATAAAGTTATCTGTTGAAGTCGATTGATATTATACTATTTGTCGTCATTTGAGCACGTTTCGTGTCGCCAGCACACAGTAATGTGCAAACGGTATCCATCCATTACTGGACATTTGCGCTGCCAGTT